AGATGGAATTCACACTCTTTTTCTTCCCCCTCAGAGCCCAGACCCCCTCTATTCCCTGCCCGACCCGGATCAGATCCCGATTCCCTCTACCCGCTACCAATCCCCGCGACTCACGGGACCCGTTACCCCCCTCACACCGACTGTCCGACTCCCCTCTACTCCCCTCCCGATCCACCCAACCTATCGATCCTCTGGATTATACACCTCTTCTCCCCCAAATGACCTGTCCTTAGACATGGGGACCTCCCCTTCCTCTTCCCTACATTGGTCTCTGCCTTCAGAGAAAGAACTTGAATTCGACCTGGCTTTTCCAGATTTGCTGCTTTTCTTTTCCAGGATTAGGAAATTACTCCTACCCACCTTAATGAAATAAAATAAGAATACAATTTATATATTAAGCATCCCTTTATTCAGGATACTGCAATGATTTTTGCCTGCTTTACATCGCATCACCCTACGTCACTGTGCCACTTGGATTATAAGCTCTCTTATATAGACAACCTCCTGTCACATGCCGCATCTTTGAATCTTTTTGTAACCAGTTTGGCTTCTTAGGCTCGTGCCGTGCCAATCTGGCCCTAGTTTAGTTTTTTAGTTTTTATTTGTTGTTTTAGGGGATTGTGCCTTCTTAGTTTGTTTATGTTTTGCTTGTTTGTCACTTTTAATCTTTTTTTAATTGTTTTATTGTGTTTAGTGTATTGTGCCTGTTGTTTATTTTGCTTTATTCTGTTTTTAATTGTTTGATTTGCTTAGATTGTATTGTTGTGTTGTGTGTTGAGGCCTCGGCCTGTGTAAGCCGCATCGAATCCTTCGGGAGATGCTAGCGGGGTACAAATAAAGTTTAATAATAATAATAATATAATTCAAGCAAATAACTACATGCTTGTATAAAAACATGCTTGGTACCTTTGCTTACAGAACCAATTTCTCCTTTGGATAACTCTCCCCAGGGCCTGCCAAAGGCATTGTGCTACCTGAGGTGGAACAAATGGCTCCGGTTAAAGCCAATGAAGTCTGGCTGTATACTGTAGAATGAATACAGTTCGACTTCACTTTAACTGCCATGGGTCAATGCTATGGAGTTGTGGGATTTGTAGTTTGATGAGATACCAGCGCACTATGGCAGGAAAGACATTTCACATTATTATGGCTATTCACATGCACAGTCTGCTCCTAAGCAGTTCACTCCATGCATCTGAGGAAACAGGCTACCAAGCTTTTTCTTTCAATCTTTTAAGATACTACAAGATCCCTCTGCACACTGATATTCCAGACTAACACAGGCATGTCTTTCATTTCTGCTCCTTCTGATGCCATTTCCATTGCCTTCTAAATAGATAGTGAGGAAGCAACAGTCTGAAAAGGAGATGTTCAGTTTCCTGCTGTGGGGCTCCAGGTCATGTAACCTCCTAATGTACTGCAGAAATTCAGATTGTTGTCATAGCCTAATGCATACCTTCCAGTCATATGTGTGCTTATACCTCATTACAGAGGGATGCACATGGGGAACAGACCCTCCTCTTCAGATATTCCCTGACAGTATACTGTGGGATTAGGCTGGAAAAGATGCCGGGAAAGAGATGGGGCCTATAAGGATAGTGTCCCCCTGAGATAATTGTGACTGCTTGAAGTAGGATCAAAGAGATCTATAGTTCCCAGTCTCTCATCCAGAGAGAGAAGCATAAAGAAGAGTTTCTCAGGCTTTAAGAAAATCGAAGGATGCATATCGAGCATGCTTATTTGCATATTTAATTTAAAATGTTTGGACTCAAATTCAAATGATATTCTCTCCTAGTAAACAAAATAATAAGAAATACCAGGAACATTCATATAGACCACTTCTTAATTCAAAAATAGCACTATTTTACATAGTGTCAAAATTAAAAACAAGTCCTTAATCCTGTTGATAAAGCGATTTTGCGTATAATCCCTGTGTAATTAGCTTTATAAAATTCTTTGAAATCTCAAAAATCTCAAAATTCAATAATCCATTAAGGTGTTGCTGACTCTGAACAGATGCAACATTTCCATCTATTCCATATATTTTCTAGTTCTCTACAATTAAAACTGATAGGACGCTGTTTAGTAAAATAATTGGAAATGTCAGAGGCTTGTTCTAAATGTTTTCAATATTAGAAATATGCTGGTTATATTATATTGAATCCAAATAAATTCCACAATCTTGGGTAAGTCTATACTTTACAATGAATGTAGTATGACATCACTTGAACTGACATGGCTCAATGCATGGCTCAAAAGATCTTGCAAAACTACAACTCCCAAGATTCCATAACACTGAACTATGGCAGTTAAAGTGGTATCAAACTGCATTAATTCTACAGTGTGGGTGTACCCCTTATGACATAGGAAGCCTGGATTTTAGATGTGTGTTTTAGATTCCTCCCCCAAATGTTCTCTGGATAGCTCAACATTAAGAAAAAAAGAATTTCAAAAGTACAATGCAGTAAAAGACAATAAAATGAAATGCAGCCATAAAGTGTCAAATAAAAACAGGACAAAAAAAGAATACAGAATCAAAACGAGCAAAGTTCTAACATGGTTAAAATCTGAACTATAAAAACAAAATCTTTATCTGGTATTGAAATAAGGATAGGTACCAGGCAGACTTCATGAGGAGGGAATTCAATAACCACAATGCCTATATCTAAAAATTCCTTCATTGATAGCTCTCCAATTAAAATACCTGGACCCAGGGAGGCTACATGATCCTTTAGTGTTCATGTGTGCACATTAGAGAAAAGACACATTCACTTCCTAGATAGAGTATTTACTTTGAGACATATTACAGAAAGGTATCATAGACTAAAAAGTGTTCCTCTGTCACATTAGTGGACAAAAAGTTGCAACTTCCAGCGATTTATCTCATCAGATTTTGTGTCTTTCAATGTAGAGAAGGAGCCCCCAGTGGCACAATGGGCTAAACCCTTGTGCCGGCAGGACTGTTGACCAAGTGGTTCAAATTCTGGGAGAGTGGGTTGAGCTCCCTCTGTCAGCTCCAGCTCCCCATGAAGGGACATGAGAATTGCCTCCCACAAGGATGGCAAAACATCAAACATCCGTGCTTTTCCCTGGCCAACATCCTTGCAGATGGCCAATTCTCTCACATCAGAAGCAACTTGTAGTTTCTCAATTTGCTCCTGACACACAAAAAATGTAGAGAAGAGTAAAAAAGTGAAATGTTGCACCAGCCTCCTTGACCCAGATTTGGATCCATGGGAAAAGGGAAAGCAGAGGTGAAAGGTGGTACCAGAGTATTCACTTCTGTATCCCCCACTGACAGCATGTATCCAATGAGCAAATGCTGGTGGGTATTCAGATGCAGTTGTTCTTGTTAATTACTGTTTAAACATATGAAGATCAACTTTAAAAAGGAACTAAACTATTAACACAAACGAAATTGAAATGATAAAAAGCTACCCCTTTAAAATGCCTCCCATCTTATACAGCTAGTTAAGAATGCTAGTTTTTTTTAAAGTTTGTATAAACCTTGACAATCTCCTCCCCTCTTCCCCCTCCCCCTCAAAAAGCAAAATGCTGTTATGTCTAGAACTCTCCAGTGCCAACAAAACATCAGCCTTTAAGCATTTGGAACACCTTTTTATTCCATGTGCTTGAGCCCTTCAGGAACACTAACTATCTCTTCAGCCTATAAAGCAACAGGGATATTTTTATTATTATGCTGTTTTTTTTACTATTATATTCCCTTTTTCTTTAATCCAGGAAGAATGAAAGTAAAAAAAAGGAGTTATATCCAATGTAAATATAATTGCAGCTGTAGATTTAGGTAGCAGCATTATATTCAATAAGATGGCACCACATATAGCAAGGTGGTACATATCAAATTAAAGCAGTGAATCACTGCATGGAGACAAAGCCTGAAGGAGGAACACTGCGAATGATCAAAGGGTTTCATTTTGCAACATGGCTTTTGTACAAAAACAGAACATTAAACAATGCTTTGAATGACAGAGGCACTTGAGCACTGCACAGTTTGGAACACACACATTTAAACTCTGTATAGGACAAAAGAACGGGTTTATGTGAAGATCAGACAATGTCTAGCATTTCAAAATCTTCTTTCATAGGAAGCAACAATGAAAAAGCTGTTCAGAAATTCAGCATAATACAATCTTGAGGCTACTTTACCTGCAGAAGCCTTGGTTATCATATGCGATATGACTGCCAACATCAAATGCTGCCTTATTCTTGATATTTTTATTGTTGTTGTTATTTCTTCCTTTATAACCAAAATAAGCTGCTTGCATGCTTTCCAGTTCTTCACTTCTGAGCTGGTACCACAGTTGCATATCCCTGTCAAAACAGACATCGGTTTCAATCAGCAGCAGGCATCCAGGGCATGTATATCTGCCAATATGATTGGAATTACACATAACCTAAACATTTTAAGTATCTCTAACATTAGACATTCATCCTTCCCACATCATCTCTTGTATGTAATGTTGGAACTTGGCAATGAAGGTATGATAAAAACATTGAAGTCTGAATGTCACTCTTTTCATATATGCTCTGAATGAAACAAAGGGTGTTGTGCCTATAGAGTCTGTTCCTTCTGATCACACAGCCACTGAAGTTTAGAATAAAATGCGTTAGGAAGTTGGGAACAGGGACCGTCAACACAAAACTGGATTTATGCACAAGAGAAGTGAACTACATCTTAAGGATTCCAGTCATGAATTTTAAATTTCACAACAGTCAATATACAAAAAGGCCGTTTTCATAATGTTTTTAAAACTTAACCCTATTTAAGGCCTAAACATGTCTTAATCTGGTTCTGTGTGCACACAGACCCAGGTTTGGAGTAGGGGCAGTAGGCACAGTCTTGGGGGGAACCATTATAATAATAAGTAATAACAAACTTTATTTATACCCTGCCATCATCTCCCGAAAGGGGACTCGGGACAGCTAACATGAGGACAAGCCCAGAATTACAGTACAACAAAATAAAATAAAATACAAAAAGCAAATGATAACATCAAAATAAAATACATAAAATAACAGAAAATGCAATAAACAGATGCAAAATAACGTGATGAAGAAATAAAATAAAAGCACGGCTGGCGGGCCAAATGCACAGAATAAGATTGATAAAACCCTGAGTGAGACAAGTAAATGGAGAAGTATGTGTCTGTGGGGGAGCTCAGAAGGGGCAAACAATGGGATTGAGTCTTCATTAAAGACAAGGGAAAGCGCATAATGAGGACAGAACTATAATTGGGATGGACATGATATGGGGATATGTATTTGGACACCTGTCTTTTGCATTATGAGTCCACTTTAGCTGCCATGGTTACACCCCATGGAATCCTGGGATTTGTAGTTCTTCTTGTGTCTTCCCAAACTACAAACCACAAGACTTTGGAAGGTGCAGCCATGAGAGATTCATAATAATATAATTATGTGGAAGGGCCCATGATATCTTCTGTATCTGAGCACAGGAAAAACTTGGCTAAATCAATCCACAGGCCTGTCTGGTCTCCTAAAAATCTTGGGAAAATAGCCTAACCACAACCTGCATTTCAAAAGTAAACTATGTTTTTGGGAATTTGTTTCAGCATTGACACACACGCCAAGCCATACATCCTCAACTTGGCATCTCTATGTATTAGACCACAACTCCTATCATAAACAAAAAGGGGAGGAAATGGCACAATGGGGAACAGATTATGGTGTTAGTATTTGATGTACCAAATGCTTACAGAGCTGTTTCTGTAATTCTGTAATTCAGGCAAGCCTAACACCACTTGCAAGACATGTTACAGCAAAAGACAGGTGTCCAAAGGCATGGCAGTTTTATGGTATGTTACTGATAAAATTTTAGCTGAGAAATAAAGTATAATTTCCCTGATCTGCTTGCCTGAATAACATTTCAACCCATCTGTCCCTCTGTCACTGACTGTGTCCTGGTGAAAAATAGCTTCAGTTGCTTTTATGGCTTTTTCCTTCATCTGGGTTAAGATATTAAATCTGTCGAGTCAGGGCCTTCCCTTAAGCAATGTGCTTCCTAAAGTGGAAATTCCAGGAGGGTCTCACATCACAGGACCAGAACAAGTATTGTAGATCTTAACATTGATTAACTACCCCTTTGTCCACAAGATTGATTTTTCCCCCTTTTCCAAATGAGAAAATAAAAACTCTGCTAGGGCTGCTATAAAAGATGGGCAAAGCAATCCTATAGGGTGGGGAAGAGCTGAGAGAGGAACTGACTTCTTCTATGTCCAGTGGACTTGTGCCAAAATTCAGGATATCCCACTCCTCATTGTCAGGTGCATTCTAAAAGAAAGAAACTTCCTTTTATTTTTTTAAAGAAGAAAAATAATACTTCTCATTGATTTCAAAGGAAAGAAAACCATAATTCCGGTAAGCACTCATTCAGAAGCAATGAGGTTTGGGATCTTGTTGGCCCATAGTCTCATCCAGAGAACCTCAGAATGTCATACTTTCCTTCCCTCCAAGAAATAGTTTCTGCATCTGCCTGTTGAAGACCTGCTTCCTGGGGTTGCTACTTCACCCTGATTTAGCACAGTGGGGGGACACTTTTCACAAAATAGTTTTTACAGCATGGATATCAAGAAGGGAAGTTATGGTATGGTGACTTTTCTGACAAAACTGAGTACTTGTGAATCCTACCTGAATTTGTCAGCAGAACAATGAGAAATATGAGCATTGCCAATAAGGAAAAAGGAATAAAATACAGCAAATAAAATATAGACAAAGGAAAATACAGAGTAAGAGCAGTAATATTGTACTTCAAAACAAACATTTACTAAGTATTTCCATTAATATGATACATGGTTTTCGAAAATCCCAACATTAACATTAAGTAACAAACTAACAATGTATATACGTGAAATTGTAAAACTGAGAATAATGCAATCTGCAGTGGAAATTTTTTTTTGTGCCCAAGTAAACAAATAGGTCCTGGTCTGCTACAGAAATGATAGAAAGACCATTTGAAATATAAAGAGAAGACTACCTGTCAATGCCCCCCCCCCCTTCCCCACATATCTTAGATCTTAAATTGTCATCTATCATCACTCTAAAATCTTAACGTTTTTTAAAAACCCATTGCTCTCAACTGACATACCTTTGAGCTCTCCTTCTCTCACTTTTCTTAACACATTTGATGAGACAGCAGGTTAAAAAAGCCATAGACATCAGCAGAATAATAGCACAGCTCACAATGGAGGCGATCACTGCAACTTTAAACCCAAAGGTTTCATATTTGGATATAGCTGGAAGAAAGCACAATCACAAGCTGATACCTGCATTGTTATCTAACTTCTTCACACTTCTGCTAATAAATTCTTCACTTGCCTTGACAGTTGAAGAGGTTTGGCATCATTTCAGTCTAGGAACATCTCTGTTTAAGAGTGTCCCATTTATAAGTGAGAAGTGAAATCCTCCAAAAGGAACTTGGCATAGAACTTAATCTACTGTAATGTTTAGAAGGTTTTAGAAAAAGAAAGGGAAAGACAATATAGGCTCTTGGTACATGGATCTTATAGAACTTGTAGCATCTGACGATGTAGTCTTAAATCTGTGCTACCAATTTCTTTATCTCAGATAGTTTCAAAGATGCTACAAAATCTCTTGACATACTGATTTTCCAGAGTGACATAGCAATGTCTTCCAATTCTATCTTGGTACACGATGAACTTGCAAAGCATGGCTAACATCTGAGAATGGCATTGCTTTGCTAAGACCCATTTGCAACAGAAGACCATTGTCAGCTTGCAAGGTTTCCCTGCTGCTCCACCTGTCCTCATTTCTGCTGCATATATGCCTGTCCTCTCCACATAAGTGAGCAGTGGGAAGAGGGGGGAGATTTCACCTCCATGAGAACGCTCTTTTCTGTGGACAGTGGAGCAGATTACATCTTGAGTAAGAAGCTGAGGGAACACCTCTATTAAAACTCCAGGTCCTTCAGCATGAATCTATGATCAATTTCCATGCTACACTGGAAGACGTAGAGATTTCTAGAGAGAGCATTTTATTCAAACCCTAAATCCATAGAAGTCAATGCTACAAATGCGAAGAACCGACTGCATTGTTGCTAACATCTCCTTACTGTGATGCCTATCAATCATTAACATAGGTTCAAAACTACAGTTCAGTACTGCATTCAAATAAAGGAGAAATGAGCAATCTATTCAGTTCTGGACTATTTTAAAATTAGACGTGAATCTGCTTCAAATATACTAAGATTTTGGCACACGGCACTCTCGATATGCTGAAATCCAAGACCATGGCTTCAGATGTTCTTCACCATTTCTGTCATTGTTATTGTTGAAATACAAAAGCTTAGAATGAAAAGGAGCTAGTTTTGTTGCCATTTGACTCCTCTTTGTTAACAGAGTAGCTATTTCTCTCTGGTATCACAAGTAATAGCACTTGCACTTTAGCAAACTATCCATGTTCTTTTCAAAAGCCAAACAGGGATGGGCATCACATGGCAAATGAGTGTGGGGAGGAAGGAAGCAGTGAATACTTACGCTTACATGAAGGGATGTCTGCTGTCCACTGGGTGCTATTGCCTTTCCAAATGCATGTGACGACTCCTTGTCCAACTAGCTGGTGTTCTGCAGAACACCGGAATGTAATGACTGTGCCCACGGTGGTGCCATTGCCATGGATGATTTCGGACATGCCAAGGTGAGGTGCAAATATCTGGTTGCATTGTCCTATAAAAAGAAAAAAGGGGAGGGAAAAACATTGCTATTCCAGATCTTTACCATTAACCCATCCTGGTAGTACCACAAGATTAGAAGGGCGCTTATCAAATGAATGCAGCAGAGTGGTTAAGGGTGTTAATTGGGCCACTGAATTGTATGCGTGCACACACCATGTGAGGTAGATTTAAACAGCCATCTACATTTATTTCTGCTTTTACAATTGGGTTAATTGTGTTGGCCTACATCACAATCCTAATATAAAGATCATTCAGATAATGTATATGGAGTAATTTACATGCTTTAAATGTGCAATATAAATGCTAAGCAGGAGCATTAGAATATCAGAGATGAAGCAGAAGATTTACAACTTGTGGACCTATTGCACAAAAAGTAAGAAAGCTAACTGTATTGGAAGTGCAGAGCTGCCAAACTTGAGATAGCCTAAACGATAAAGAGATAGATGAGAAGATGAGAGATGAGGAGTCCTGGCCCGTATCTCATGCCCTAAACCAAAACCATTTGCATTATGCCAAGGATTTCCATATCTGAAATAATGAACAATCAAAATCATTTAAATGCTTCATGCTGCCACAGCTTAATGCTTAAAAATAAGTTACAGCATGCTTTTCATGCACAAATCAAACAAAGCAGCAAAATAATAGCAATGCTAGCATTACACTTCCTAATATTTCCACCAAAATATCATATTTTAAAAAACTGTTTTCTTTGCCTACATTTTCCTGGGAGTAGTCTCAACAAATTAGTGCAACATATTTCAACATTAATATGTGTAGCGTACACTGGATGAAAGTAGAATAATTTTAACAAACCTTTAATTTCAGTAGAATCATCAGATTATGGTAATTTCTTTTATTTTGAGATTTATTAGAATTGGGACCCACTTGTTTGAAACCTACTGCAGCCAAAATATCCCAGTTTCTCTCTCTGTCCCTTCTCTCCCCATCTCCTTTCCCATTTTTCTCCTTGGTCCTCGCCATCCTTCAATTGCTCAAATTGAGTTTAAAAGGCAGAAACAGTTTGCATTCCAGACTGGAATATTGTTCTTCCCAATAGGTTCAGGTAAAAGCAAACTACTGAAACCAATCTTAACTTGTCTTTCTTCCTTCATTAATAACTTATGCTGTCTTGACCATATTCTGCTGTTGTTGGCCACATTTCTGCCTATTTTCATCTGGTATAAATAATATTTTCTTAATAACATCTCCTCTCATGTACACCTTAAACACTGACAAGAACGGAATAAATATTATTATATTGGGTTTTTTATACTCTGCCTTTTTCTTGATCCTGAAACTCCAGTTGCATCATAATGCCTTAATAACCAATGATCTAAAAAGTGGAGCAACACCATTTTGAGTAACAAAAATCACAAGAGTTCAATTGTAACTGATTTATTTCAAAACTTAAAAACATGATTTCATTCATGTTATATAGGAGACTGCCCAGTAAGTAAGTAAGCAGCCTTAAGCTTTCTTCAATATAGTTTAAAATTGCTTTCTTAATTACTGATTGTATTTTAATTAAAGTAATAATTTAATTCATATCCTCTCACCCAGCATGACACCCAAGACTTATAGCATGCATCAACACTATCAGATTGTTTTAACACTATATAACTAATATTTTGACATTATAATTAATTTGATTTTCTTTAAGCATTACCACCTTTTGTGATTCTAAGTGTATTTTCTAGTTCTAGAATAAAAATCAAAAGGACGAATGAATGACTAAAGCAATTTCTAACAAGATTTTCACATGTTCTGTATTTTGTTTTCCTTTGACCTCATTGCTTTTCATCCCACTCACCCCAAATCTCTATGGCTATCTACACAAAGAAGTTTGTTGACAGCTGCCAGGCTTAAAGGTGACATTTCATGCATCTGATGAAGTAATCTCTTATCCAGTAAAGCTTCAACCATAACAAATTTGTTAACTTATAACATCTCACAAGACTCTTAATTTGCCATTTCTTAAGAATTCCCCTAATCGACAATTTGGTTACAGGAGTGCGTGCTGGGAACACTCCAAAGGATAGCTGAACAGATCAGAGCTCTGCATAATGTGAGAAAAAGAAATGGGTGAGTAAAAGATGAATAGAGAGGCAGAGGCACAGAGAGAGAAGATACCACCAGAGAGAGGAAGTACTACCCAAGAGAAAATGTGAACCTGAAGTACAGATTCTATGTTGTTGACAGGTTGTTTCCAGAAGAATGTGTTCCATTTTAGGTGCCTCTTTGACAATACTATATTCTGATTGTAAGTCCATAAATAAGAACATGTATAACAAAGAAGGTAGGTTGTCCACTGTAACACAATAGTTGCACTAGTGTAGATAATGAATACATACCAAGTTGAATAACTTCAATATTGTACCTCTCTTCATTAACACAACTACACAAGTTCACAAAGCTGTGATCCCATGATCAGTCTTCTACATATGCTTAAACTCCTGCATTCCTACACTATTGCCTACTCAGTGTGCCTTGCAATTCATTTAATTGTTATTATTTTTAACATGATTGCACAATTTCAGCCTAAAAAGAGCAAAGCAGTCACCTTGGGAGCAGAGAGGGGGAGAGAAGGAAAATCCCATCCTCTGAAGAGAAAAGGACCTATCACTCTAAGGTAGATAGTTCACTCTAAGGTAGATAGCTTCATATCATAGTAGGATATGAAGCTATGGATGAGTTTGGAATTCTTGGGTTTCACCCATTAATAGCCTGGGATAGGAGAATCATGGAAGGGGAGCAAACAGTAGCAGGATACACATACTATCATGTGTTCGCTATCCTCACCAAAGATGACAGTCCAGCTGCAATGGAGGTTTGCTTGCCTCATATAATAAAGTCCTTTATGCACAATGTATTGTGAAAGGCTTTCATGGCCAGAATCACTGGAGTGAAGATGCCAGCCACAGATGCAGGCGAAATGTCATCAGGAGAAAATGCTGCTAAAACACAGCCATACAGCCCAGAAACCACACAACACTTATGCACAGATTGCACAGCTAATCTTTCCTGTACCCTTTTCTTCTTCATGTGAAAAAACTTCCTCAAGCATTCAGCAAACATACAATCCAAAAGGAACTGCAAGGACACCTCAGATAAAATTGCTGCCCTAATTCTTTATGAATATATATATATATATATATTCTGTAAAGTACCTCCCAAGATGATTTTCAGTGTATTTCAAACAAAGGCAAAATCTGCAACACATCAGTTGAAAATACATTTAAAAGAGCATAATTGGCAATACACTCCCCCAAAAGTGCAATTAAAATAGTCAAAATACACAAAAGCTTCAGTTGCAGTGCTTTAAAATGTAGCATCATCTTATGGCTGTCATTAAAATAGTAATTATGTCATAAAAATGTAAATGTGAAAGAGAATAAAAAACACTGTCAAAGTTTGAGGCAGCTATTACAGTTTCCTAATGAACTGTAGCACATATCCACTTTTGCATCCTGTTTGGAATTTTGACTTTTTTTGCCTGAAACTGGACATTGCAACTTGGACAAAACCCAAATAATCTCTGTCAGATGTTGGGGGCATCAACCAAAAATTTCAAAAGCGGATAGTTCCTTCTTTTACTTCTAGCAAGGCTCTTCCTTCTATAATTTTGACTGGAAATTCAGCACTGTGGTTAGAATAATAAACCAAAAACATGAATATTCTATTTTATTATCGTAGATACCTAGCTGCAAGGTTTCCTTCAAGCCCAGCATTATAGATAGTGAGACCTTGAAAATTGCTGCTGTTGTAGCATAACCAAATTCTCTTTCTCCTTCATAGTTGCTGTGTGCCTTCAAGTAGTGTGCTGGCTTTTTTTTTTTCATTTACACCCACACCAATTTACATGGAGTTGATCTCCCTCATGGATCAGCAAGTATTTTGTCCTTCTCTCTTGCAAAACAATAATGTGAGAGAATTGGCCAAATTAAAACAAATTAAAGCTTTGTCAAAGGCTTTCATGCCGGAATCACTGGGCTGTTGTAAGTTTTGTGGGCTGTATGGCCATGTTGCAGAAGCATTCTCTCCTAATGTTTCGCCCACATCTATGGCAGGCATCTCTGAAGTTGTGAGGTCTTAAAATAAAGCTTATTTGAAAAATGATTATGAAAACCTTTGACTGTATTAACATATTACCAAATAACACTGAAAAGCTGGCTTCAAACACCTCAGATAAATACAGGGATGATCTAGTTTTAAAAAATCCACAACCCAAAGGTGTTATATACTTACATCTGGTCTGCAATTTGCTAGTTAAAAATAGGAAGCTACAGATACTGCCGGAATGATTGTTCTGGTGAACATACTGTTTGCAAATTTAAATTGTTCATGAAAGAGGAGCAACCACTCCCTCTCTCATTCTGTTCTTAGTATATATCATTCTGTTACGCAGTCATAAACTGTACCATTGTTTTTTCTTCCTTTTGCCACTGGGGACAATTTAATTGTGTTAAGAAACTTTATATCATTTCACTGTAAGTATGAAGAAGAAAGGCCTTCTAAATCACTTCATTTTTATATTTAAAATGGGAATTAAAAAGTACATGAGATTGAAATCAAGCCTTACTTTTTTTTAAAATTAGAAAATCCTTGTTCAATTCCATGTTCTTAATAAAAGGCACATGACATAATGGTTTAGATCAGTGGTGTCCAACCTTTGGGACTCCAGCTGTTTGGGACTTCAAGTTCCAGGAGTCCTGGCCAATTTGTTCAATGATCAGGAATTCTAGAAGCTGAAGTCCAAAATACCTGGAGGACCATAGGTTGGACACCACTGCTTCACCCAGTTCAGGGTGAAGGTCTTGTGAAGTCTGCCAAGAGGTAAGATTTTTTTTATGGTTTCCCTTGCATCCCCACCAAAAAATTTTTTTCATAAATCTTGTATAAAATTATTCCATGTTCAATGCTCGTTACCTCCGTTTGAAAGAAGCTTATCTTCCAACAGTTCTGATTTATTGTTGAAGGCTTTCATGGACAGAA